CCCGCATGGGGAAAGCTGGCTGAGGAACTTTGGGAGCTGAAGTCCGCAAGTCTTAAAGTGGCCAAGGTTGGAGACCCCTGCTCTAAAGAGACACTTCTGCTGCTCCCAATGATGCCTTCACTTTGCTTGTGGGGTGACTCACCCTCGAAGTGCGAAACCCCCACGTGACGGAGCAGCCCACTTGGGAAGAGAGCTTCTTTTTTTTATAGAACCAAGCTGCTAGTCCTCAAGTCAAGCTTGCTGGAACTGGCAAGAAACTTCCAAAGAAGTCATTCTGGGCTCCAGCTGGGCACAGGATAGTCTGGCTCTTGTGCCCAGCCCTTCCCTCCCTCCAGGGCCTTTCCTCCCTCACCTTTGGGGCTGCCAAACCGCACCTGCCACCCAGGGAACGCCTCTGCCCTCCAGGTTCAAGTGTGGCAGGCCAGTGCCAGCCTCATGCCAGGTGCTCCGAGGCAGCGCATCTTTCAGCACTGCCTGCCTTCCTTGGCCTTCGGCTCTCGCAGGTGCCAGGTAAACGGGAAGAGTGGAGGAGCTGTGCCCAGGCAGGTTGGCACAAGCCGAGGAAGATCTGGAGGGCTTGGAGGGGGGGGTCTATGCCAACTGGATCAGGGAGGGAAGCAGGGAGAAGAGCTTATGCATCCACCCTGCATGCCAGGGGCTTTTCAGTACGTGCCAGCTGCTTGAGACCCAGCTGGCATCTTGGTTGGGGCTTGAAAAAGAGCCCAGGTGGGAGAGCACTAGAGCTACCCGGGAGGGCAGAATTCCAGATGTTTTGAGAGTTTTGGTGCAGATCCCTAGTGGTGGCTTTCCAGGGGGAGAAAGTTTTCACCTTCAAATCTGAGAGCTGCTGTCTGTCTGGTATAAATCAGAGAGGGGGAGAATTTGTAGGGGGCCCTCAGTTTCATATGGGGTCCTCCCCAGGCTCAAAATGGTTTTTCTAATCTGCATGCAGCACAATGCAACATAGAGCAATTTTTATTCTATTTGTTTTATTTAGAAGCCCCCCCCCGACTGACTCTGGGTGGTTTACGGGCAATTAAAAACCCCAATATAAAAGAATAAAGAACAATAAGCCCAGCACCACCAAGGCAACACAATGCAACGCAACGCACCGCACTGCAAAGCAATGCAAATTGTGTGGGGGAAGGTAAACTAAATCCCATAACATTGATGGATCCTTCCCACCCTTTCCCCGACTTGGGGGAGTGGTCCCCACCCACCACTCAGAGGCAAAAGAGGGCCCTCTCTGCAGTTCCAGGCACCAAGCCAGGATGCGTCCCAGGCGCAGCAACCAGGATCCTGGCTCAGTAGTACACAGGGCGAGTCAGCATCTCGTGGGACGCCCAAATGCGGCTCCTTGGTTTGAGTGCAAAGCATGCAAAATGCAATGCCACCAAATGATCGCCCCACCTGTGAACTGCGGATCGTGGTCTAGGAAACCGGACCCAGCTGGAGTTTGTGGAGGGGGTTCCAAAAACCAGGAATTGGAGGTTGGAGTGGAGAACTTCGAGGACGGGTGAGGGCTCTCCGGCCCTCCTTCAACGCTCCCACTCAAGTGTCTGAATCGCTTTGAGGCAAAGGAGCTGGCTTTTTGCCAAGGCAGGGTGGAAGGTGTGGGGTCTGAGAGTTTCCTCTTCCTCCTCCTCCTCTCTCAGCCTCAGGGCAATTCCAGGCGCAATTTTTGGGACCATCAGAAGTTGAGGACCTCTGTTTGGTCCAGGAGAGCTTTAGAGCTGGTTTTCAAGTTTGGGTACTTTTAAGGAGGGTGGACTACAAAGCTGAACTCCCCAGATGTCATGCAACTTTAAAATGCATGGACTACAACTCCCAGAATTCCCCAGCCCACATGGGGAATCCTGGGAATTGAAGTCCACACATCTGAAAGAGGCCAAGCTTGAAAAACACGAAGCTTTATAGGTGGAGAACTTTCTTAGTTTTATTTATGTCTATGTCAAATTTAGAAATCGCCCATCTCAGTCCACAATGTGACTCAGAGGTGTGTGTGTGTGTGTGTGTGTGTGTGTGTGTGTGAACAACACCTGGGCTTGCCTGGAAGATCTTTAAGGAGAGGCTGAAACAGCCCCCTCACCCCCGATAGATGGGCAGGGGTCTCAATTGCCAAAAGTGAACCCTGCAAAACTCACAATCCTGGTTCCAATGCATTCAGGAAAAAGTTGTTTTCCCAATAGGTTGAAAACACATCCGGTTATGTCACCGATAAATCCCATGGATCCCCCTCACCCCGCCAGCTTTCCACCATCCATTACAATTAACGCTGGGCCCACTGATCAGTCCTCCTAATTAGCCCACTCTGTATGTGCCCCCCTATGGAACCAAAAAAGAAAATCGATTAAGGGTGAGGGGCTGGGGAGGACTGCCCTTAAAGCTTTGGGGAGGGGGATGCCACAGGTTAGGTGGGGAGGCATCCCTGGAGTGAGCAGGACCCAGTGAGTATTTAAAATTATTTAATCCCTTTTAGATGTTATCCTATAACAGGATAACACGCTGTTGGCAACTTGAAGACTTGTGGATTTCAACTCCTAGAATTCTCCAACCAGCCATTCCTGTTTCTTTTCTCCTGCCCATCTAGAGCGGAGAGATTGTAGAGGAAGGGATTGTGAGAGAATAAGCAGGCCACAAAGGGGCATTCACCTCAAAAAGGATGCATTCGTGTTAGGGAATTCTGGGAGTTGAAGTCCACAAGGCTGCCAAGCTTGGAGATCCCTGCCCTATAATTTTGAGTGTTTCCATCTCAAGTTGATTAATACAGTCAGTAGGGAAATCCTACCCAATAATCCCATTTATATGACTAAGAGGTACAAACTGAAGCACCTCCTGAGGCAAATCTACACAAACAACACCGTAAAGATCACGAGATCAGGATGCCATTAAACAACCCACAAATTCCGTATCTTTGAGGTCCTATTTCTGTAAACTGTCCGAAGTCACCGCAAGTGAGTCGGGCGACCTTATAAATTTTCTTAAGAAAAGAATAAATGACCCAGAGAAAGAGACACAGACACACCCCAAAAACAGGCTGCACAGGGTGAGGGAGGACCCATGCAGCTTATTGGATATTTTGACAGTGAAATACACAGTTCTAAATAATGCCTGTTTAATAACCGGAAAACTATTTGATTGTTGAGGGTAGTGAACGGGTGATGCAATTTAAAAGGACTGCAGATGAACTGGAAAGCTGTTGGGACAGGTGATGCAGGCATTATATGCAGGTAGTCCCAAAGGTGCTTCTTCAAGAGGCAGCTGGACTTCCTGGTTTTTCTTGGAAGACGTTTCGCTTCTCATCCAAGAAGCTTCCTCAGCTCTGACTGGATGGCGGGGAATGGAAGGACAGCATTCTGGTCATTTGCGTTCTGTCTGTCTGCAAGGAGTATAAATCCTTCCATTCTCCACCATCCAGTGAGAGCTGAGGAAGCTTCTTGGATGAGAAGCGAAACGCCTTCCAAGAAAAACCAGAAAGTCCAGTTGCCTCTTGAAGAAGCACCTTTGGAGACAACCCTGACCTGGATGACGGAGAATCTCCACAGACACATACAGGTAATTTAGTTTCTTCCTTCCTTCCTTCCCTTTTTCCGCCCTCCCTCCCTCCCTCTGCTTCATTCTTTCCTTCCCCCCGTCTCCTTTCCTTCGTCCCTCCCTCCCTCCCTTCCTTCCAAAGGGAATGGGGTCCTTCAGTTCTTCCAGCCTCCTCCTCCTCCTCTTTTCCATCCTTCCATCTTTCCCGTCATCCCAGCCTCCTCCAGAGAGACTCCTAGAGGGAGAACTCTGGGTTCAGTGATTCATTTGGATCAGAGCCAATATTCTAGCCCAGGCTGTTTCCTGCCCTGGCCTACCTCGAAGGGCTGACGTGGGCCAAGACCACAAGTGCCCCAAAGCCCCCTTTTCTCTCCCTGGCAACAGGGCCCTAAAAGACGCCCCCCCCAGCCCTTTCCTTCCGTTCCTTCAGAGCAAAGAAAAAATCTGAAATTTCAGTCCCATTCCCTGCGCCTCCCAGCCTTTCCCCGAAGCCTGTTTTAAAACAAAATTCAACACCTGCACTGGCCAAAATTAGCACCACCGCCAGGTAAGGATGTGCCTCTCTTCCTCTTTTGCTCCCAGGCTTACCTGTCCTCTCCAGCCCACTTTGACCCACAGTTGCACTCTGCCCTGAGCTGCCACCCTTCCGGACTTACACCTCGCAATTCAGACATCTAGCTCTCCTTGGCAACTGGCTCGTATTTATGACGGTCGCAGTATCCCGGGGTCATGTGATCCCCTTTTGCGACCATCTGACCAGCATAGTCAATGGGGAAGCCAGGTTCACTTAACAACCGTGTTCCTAACTTCACAACTTCAGCGATTCGCTTAACAACTTGGGGCAAGAAAGGGCGTAAAATGGGGCAAAACTCGCATAAGTCTGGGGCAAGTCTCACTTAGCAACGGAGAGTTTGTGGTCGTAAGTGGAGGACTACCTGTAAGCAGGAAGCCCACAGGGTGCCCAGGGTCAGGGCTGAGGCTAGCGTTGGGGTTAGGCTTCCTGTTTACCAGTCTGGCTGGAGAGAACGAAAACACCAAGCAGTGCCAAGCCAGCTGCCCCAGAGAAGCCCGGAGGGCTGGGGCAGAAATTCAGAGGCAAAGTGCACAGAATAAGGAACGAGGCGGGTCCTCCTCACCCCTGCCAGGATGTGCCCAAAAGCACCAGGGCTTCGGTGGCATCATGCCAGGTGACCTGGGCTTTAAGCCGGACACTCAGTGGCTTTGCCAAATTACTTACAAATCTTTTAAAAACTATTTGTGGGTGCTCCATCCCTGGAGGTTACGAGTTTGAGACGAAAGGTAAGAAGGAAATGCTGCTTCCTGCATCCGGCTGAACCACCCCGGCCTCACCAGGTGAGCTGCAGGTGATTATTGTGACTTCCAGGGACGGAGAAACGGAGGCCCCAACAAGGAGGTGACTCACCCACCAAACAGGGTGTAGGACCGGCTCTGTGGGACCAGGGAGGCTCCGGAGACCTCTCCGCCCCAGAACAAAACTTGGTGCTGCTTTACTCGCAGGGAGACCTCTCCTTCCAGGGTTGTGGCAGTGTGGCGATCTTCCTTTTTGGACTTCTGGCTCGTTTGCGGGTCTGTTAACACAACCAAAGCCTGTAGCATCACTGGGAGGTAAGGAATTCGTATGGAAGGCTGCAACTTGCGCAGGTTGTGGGGTTGGAGGCTGTTTGGCTCTTTGGATGCTCCCAGGAAAAAGCTGACCAGGAATCCTAATGGGCAAGTGGAACTCCCTGCCACAAGATGCCTGAACAGGCCCAGCTCAGGTGGTTTGGGAAGGATGAAAACAATTTTTTGGGGGGGAAAACCTGTTGAAAGTTGAGTCTTCAGACGCTAGCTCCTGAGGGGTGGGTGGGTTTTAAAAGCATTTTTTCTATAACCTCTTCGGCCAAAGAGATTGTAGAAAAAATGCTTTTAAAAATAAAAAAAAGCCTCTGATGATTGCATGGCTCAGCTGGGCAATGGCGGGGGGAGGGATTTTTGCTACCGGTTCTCCGAACCACCCGTCTCCATCGCTATCGGATTGGGCGATCCGGTCCAAACCGGGAGCATTTCACCCCTGCTTGTGACCATTTCTCACATTTATGACCTTTTGCCCCATCCCCAGGGTCACCTGATCAGATTCAGGCGCTTGGCAACTGACTCAGAGTTATGACCGTTGCATGATTCCCCTTGTGCGATCTCTGACAAGCAAAGCCAATGGGGGGGCGGGGGGGAGCCAGATTCACTTAACAACGGGGTTACTAACTTATCAACCACAACAATCTGCTTAACGGCTGAGGCAAGAAAGGTTGTAAAACAGGGCAAAACCTAACAACCATCTCCCTTACCCATAGAAATGTTGGGCTCCCTTGTGATCCAAAGTCAAGGGTTACCTGTATGGTGGAACTGCGCCCCCCCCTCACCGTTGCCGTTCTTCTCTCCCCCCACCTTGCAGGTGCCAAACTATGGGGAGCCCCATGGAGTCGCTGAGCGCGCTGGGCCGCTGGTACCTGTACGCCCTGCACGGCTACCTGGCAGAGGTGCTGTTCACGGCCACCTGGGACTTCGCCGTGCTGCGGGACTGGCGCTTCCGTGGGGGCAGCAGCGCCTGGGCGCCCTTCATCTACGGCACCTGCGGGCTGATGCTGGAGCGCCTCTACCTGCGCCTGCGGGGCCACTGCCGCCTGCCCACGCGTGCCACGCTCTACACCGCCTGCATCTACCTGTGGGAGTTTGCCACGGGCGCGCTGCTGCGTCACTTTGGCGCCTGCCCCTGGGACTACAGCCACTTCGCCTACAACTTCATGGGGCTGATCACGCTGGAGTACAGCGCCTTCTGGTTCGTGGGCTCCATCCTGCTCGAGACCCTGGTCATCCGCAACGTCCTGCGACTCCGGGTGGACGGTGCCAGAAAGCCCCTCCGGCCCCGTGCCACTTTTGCGCTCAAAGAGGAATGAGTTGGGGACAGTTCCTGCCCAGGGGACCCCTCCCCACTTCTGTCTGGGGCCTGGGGATCCACACCCTGTTCCTGCCCAGCAGACCCTCCCCATTTCTGCCTTGGAGACCCATATTGTTTCTATTGGGGAGGCCCTCCCTTTAAAAAGTCCAAAACTTTTGGACTGGATTGTAATCTTCCAAAAAAAAAAAGCCAAAAACTCCACAAAGTGGAGTAACCCTAGGACATGTTATTGACTTTTAATTAAAGGGAAATTGATTGAGGTTTTGTTCTGGTCCTGGTCCCACCCACCATTTTGGGCAGTGTGATGCTTGCCTACAATTTTTGGCCAAAAAGTTTGCAATTCCCTTCAGAATTTTCTTTGCCCCCTGAGAAACCTTGGTTTGCAAATCAGTAGAGCTGGTTTGAGTGACAACCTAAGATAACCCCAAATGAATCACAGCTGGGCTTAGCAGGATGTGGGGACCCAATTCCGGAATAGCTTCACGCTTAATTTTAAGGCAGGGCTATCCAATCGTGGCAACTTTAAGAGTTGCGGACTTCAACTCCCTGAATTCCCCAGCCAGCACAGCTGAATTCTGGGGGTTGAAGTCCACATGCTTTAAGGCAGTGGTTCTCAACCTGTGGGTCGTGACCCCTTTCACAGGGGTCGCCTAAGACCATCGGAAAACACATATTTTCAATGGTTTTAGGAATAATTTTATGGTTGGGGGTCACCACCACATGAGGAACTGTATTAAAGGGTCGCGGCATTAGGAAGGTTGAGAACCACTGCTTTAAGGCATGATGGTTTAACCCCTGTTCACTGGCTGAGCCGTAAAAATGTTGGGCTTTGCTCCAGACTGCTAGGAATAAACACTGGTTTTCAAACTAGGATTCATGCAAACAAGCCATAAATTTAGAAACCACACAGCGCAATATCCAGCTTGGGATCTCTCCTTCCTCCCTAATCCATGGCGTCACCTGGCCAGGTGGACACGGTAGGTTAACAAAACTGGAGCACACAGAGGAAGGATTACGGGCTACGGGCTCCCAGCCAAGCTGAGCATTGGGTAAAACAACTATTCTTGAAAAGACACGTACAACACTTCCCCCTTCAGGCACAACAGATATGGAAATCTGTGCCAAACAAACCACTTCAAGGTCCTCTCTTTTCTGGTCCAGGCTGGGAGGGAAGAAGGTCCGGCTTGTGTTGCCTTCCGCTGCCCCTTTGTGGCCGGACGGAAAGATCCCCTCCATCCAAAGGTGTCCAAAAGGCATCTTTGAGCCAAATTTTGTCTCTGCAGGTTCTTATTTAATTTTATTGCCTTTTATAGGTAGTCCTCCACAACTGAGCCCAACATTTTTGTTGCTCAGCAAAACATTTGTTAGGTGAATTTCGGCCCATTTTACGACCTTTCTTGCCACAGTTGTTAAGTGAATCTGGCTTCTTCATTGATATTGCTCGACAGAAGACTGCAAAAGGGGATCGTGTGATCCCGGGATGCTGCAACTATCATATATGTGAGCCAGTTGTCAAGCGTCTGAATATTAAATCACATGACCATGGGGATGCTGCAACGGTCATAAATGTGAAAAACAATCAAGTCACTTTTTAATGTCAAACTGTCACTAAGTGAATAGTTGTAACTCAAGGGCTTCGGTCTTTCTGGATTGGCACAATTCTGCGCTTCTCGACAAACTCTGAAAATCTGTCCTGGTTCCCTTTTAGCATTTCAGCTTTTCGTGTTTGCCTCTTCTGGACATGGGGGTGGGGGATGGGGGGGTCAGAGAACAGGATCCTTGCCCAGTAATAAAACTTTGATTGGATTAACCTGACATTCCAGTGGATCTCAGCCATGGGACCGGATAATCGTCAAGCCTTCAATTGGCTCAGTTAAGCCTGACCCAAATGTGTGGGTGGTTTGCAAACAAGGATCGGGTGATCCCCCTGCAGGAGGACTGGCCAGGATGCATTGTAACCAGAGAAGGGATCCACTACAGCTTAATTTGGGGGCATTTTCCTTCTCCTCTGTGGACAGTTTGGCTAGTGGCAGTTTCCTCCGTGCAGGGTCAGTTCAATTCCTCCTGGGGGGCTCTGCTTTCAGCCTAGCGTCCCCCAAAAACTTCCTCACTCAGTCTTGCTTTGCGAAGCCCAATGTGTGAGTGATTGGGCATGGAATGGAGAGGGATCCACTCTGCACACGCCCCAAGTCTGTCTATTCCTGGGCCCTCCGGTGCACTGCATGCGCCGGCCAACAGAGGGCAGGAGAGCCACGGCTGGGAACAGATCCCCGGGAAGGATCCCTGCCCTGGCTGGGAAGGGGGAACTGGTGTGGAAGGGCAGGCAGAAAGTAGGCGAGGAGAGATGGGATGGGTATTCCAAAGGGATCAGGAGGGATCCAGTGGGGAAGATTGTTATCCTCTGGGCACTTGTGACCAGTGCAGAGAATTTAGTGCTGAGGGTCATGTAAACAGGCCCAGACAGCTAACAGGACGGATCATTCTTTGGATGGATGGATGAAATATAGATAGGTAGGTAGGTAGATAGATAGAGACAGATGGATGGATAGATAATGACAGACAGACAGACAGTGTGAAAGTGTGAAAAATGGTGTCATGTGATCCCCTTTTGCAGCAGGAAGCCAGATCCGCTTAACGACCATGTAACTAACTTTACAACAGCAATGATTCACTTTAACAACTGTGGCAAGAAAGGCGGCAAAACTCATTTAACAACTGCCTCGCCCAGCCACGGAAATTTTGGGCCCAGTTGTGGCTGTAAGTCGAGGACCGTAATTGATAAAACCCTCCCACTTGTTTTCAGAAATCTGACCGTCGATCCAGTTCTTCTCCATTCTCCGCCTGCGTATCTGATTCCCGTTTTGTAATTACTCCGGATGGGCTCCGTCCACCCAACCCTCTGGCATGGCGCAGCCCGAGTGGCTTCAGGCACACCCAGGTTCCGCCCCAGGCATTTCCTGGGTGGTTTCCACACCATTCCAGACCGTTTGGGGGTCTTTTGGAGGGTTGTGGGGCAAAGGGAGGCGGCACCGCATGCTTCGCATAATGACTGCCGTGTGGAGAGCCGAGGTTGCATGGGTGCCTTGTTTAATGACAGCAATAATTTACTGACCGTAATTCTGGGCTCAGTTGTGGTCGTAAGTCGAGGACTAACTACAGGAGAACCTTTGCAGCTCGGGGTTGAACTGGGGCGTCCGTGGGGCTTTCCGACCTTGGAGGTTTACTTGCGGATGTTTCACTACCAAACTAGGTAACATCATCAGTGCTAGAGAGGGGGGTTTGCAAGGAGGAGGACTGTGAGGTCCGTGGTGCTCTCCGAGCCTAGTGGTTTCTTGCAGACGTTTTATCACCCAACTAGATAACATCATCAGTACTGGAAGGGAGCGGGGATTGCTCTCTGTTCTCTTCTACACTACACCAGCACTGATGATGTTACCTAGCTGGGTTGTGAAATGTCTGCCAGAAAACCACCAAGCTCAGAGGGCACCAAAGACCCCCTCAGAGGTCAGCTTTGGGCGCCAGATGTGGCTGGGCAGCTGCAGAACAGAAAGGAGCCAAAAGGGCCCACATCTGGAATAAGGCTGGCAAACTCCTGCGCCGAGCCCCAAGCCAGTTATTCAAAAGCCAGCCTGGTTTCATCAATACTCAAACTGTGGTTTATTTTAACCACGGTTTGTAAGAGAAGCTTCTATAGCTGGCCACAGACTAGTTCCCACAGCCCCGAACAATTAATGGCTGGCTGGGCTAAATGAGGACTGTGAGCTGTTTCCGTATTTATCACCGTATTTTATATTCTCACTTTATTGCATTGTAGGACGCTGAGAGTCGCCCTCCAGACAGAGGAGCAGCATATGCATTTAATAAGGAAACAGACAAACTGAACTGAGCTTAACAAGGTCTGATTTCTACATCCACATCAAAGCTGTCCTTGCAGGGAAAGTCATCATAGTCCGGTTGAAAGCGACGGCCGGCTTCCCACCAATGACCAGGGCTCTTTAAGACTGAACCCGAGGAAAAAGAGAGTGCCTCTGAGCAAGTACAGAGTGACTTTCTCTCCCTGGCCCTCCTCAGCTGCAGCAGCTTCTTTGGTGACCGCCAGCAGAGCTGGAAGATGGTCAACCTGCCTTCCTCCCTCCCTCCCACCCCTGAATCCTGCTCCAGGTACAGGCAGTCCTCCACCTGCAACAGTTCATTTAGTGACCATTCCCAGTTACAGTGGTACGGGGGAAAAAAGTGACTGATGACCATTTTTCACACTTATGACCGTTTTGGATCTCCAGGGTCATGTAATCAAAATTTGAACGCTTGGCAACTGACTCATACTTATGACGGTTGCAGCGTCCCAGGGTCACGCGATTCCCTTTTGCGACCTTCTGACAAGCAAAGCCCACGGAGAAGCCAGGTTCACTTAACAACCGTCTTACTCACTTAACAACTGCAGTGACTCAGTTAGAAACCGTGGCAAAGAAAGATTGTAAAATGGGGCAAAACTCACTTAACAAATGTCTCACTTAGAAACGTAAACTTGGGGCTCAATTGTGGTCGTAAGTCGAGGACTGCCTGTATTTCTGGAGGATGCTGCAGGTAGGCAAGGAGACGCACTCGGCTTCCTGCTCCTCCCCCTCAGCCTGACTTCAAAGGCGGCTCTAATTGGCTCTAAAGTTGGCTCTAATTAACCTGCCAGAACAATGGGGAAACTGAGGCCTCGCCAGAGGAAGCTGGGGGTGGAAAGAGGAGTTCCCTCCTTGTGCCTCCAATCCCTAGGCATCATTCCCTCCTGGCGGGGAAGAGGCCATTGGAGGTGCTTCCCGGCTTGCTGGTCCAATCCTTCCAAAGCCACGGAGGGCAGCTCAGGAGGGTAAGTCACCCCCACACTGCTGCTGGCACGGGGAGAGCAAGCCTGGCACCTGACCAGCCCTCTGGCTTCTCCTTTGGAAAGCAGCTGGAATGCCAGGCCGATGGGCGCATAGGAGCTTGGAGGCCTAGGAGATAAGAGTGGGGGAGAGGGAGAGAGGGAGAGAGAGAGAAGGAAAAGAAAGAAAAGAAAAGAAAGAAAGAGGAAGGAGGAAGGAAGGAGAAAAAGAAAGGAAGGAAGGAAAGAAGGAAGGGGGAGAACAAAAGAGAGAGAGAGAGAAAAAGAGAGAGAGTGGAGAGTGGAGGAAGCAGAGGGCTGCCCGCTGGAAGGGTTCAGCTGCAGTTCCCCAGGCTCTCTGTTTCCTAAGCCATCCCGGCTGAGGATGATGGAACGGCCATGCTGCACACGCAGAGGGTACCCGGTTGGCACTGCCAGCCTTCTTCAGATACCCAGAGGCTTCGGGTTTTATCCTGCCAGGTACAGGCATGGAAAGCCTGGTTTTAAGGCCCTTGGAAATGTTGGCAAGGGGATCATTTTGACAATCGGGGCAGCGTGGGGGTGGCAGGGTTAGAGTAGGTTCAAGCCCCCCCACCCCCCGCCCACAGTGATGACACTTGGATCCAATCACTCTGCCTCAACCCAGCCTACCTCTCAGGGTTGTTGTTGGGGAATGAAAGCTCTAAAGGACCCCTGTAAGCCACCTCCAGCTGCTGGAGAAAAGGGGAGATGGACAGGATGACAATAAAGCAAGGAGTAGTAGCTACTACATGATTAACTCCAGAGATGCCACCAAAAGTAGAGGGATAGTAATAACTTTGCAGCCAGCGGAAGGGGTTTGAAAGGAGCTGGTGGAGCTTCTGCATACAGGGGCACTCTACCCTGAGACCTTTTCTCCCGCAGGGGGAATACTGTCCTGTGGAGGTACAAAGGGAGCGTTGTGAGGAACCAAGTTGCACAAGGCTAATTGGAGGCCAGGTGAAGCCCAGCCCTGCTTGGCTGCCGGAGGAGGCAGAAGAACCAGTCGGAGCTGCACCGCAACCTGAGCTGGTAAAACCAACCATCTGGGGATCTGCTGACCTCTTTATCTCGATCTCTCGCCCCACCTCCCAAGAATTTCGTCAGGGTTTCCAAACAAAACAACAACAAAAGACCCATGCCCCTAGCCCTCAAGATGCAAACAGATGTGAATCTGAATGGAGTAAAAAGGAAGGAAGAGAAAGGTACGGGGGTGGGGGGGTCTTCTCTCCCCTCCTCTGAAAGTAATAAATTAGTAAAGGAGGGTAAGGATGCAAACCGATCATTGTGTGTTGCAAACCCTGAGTACATTGGTTACAAATCTCTGCCAGCAAGACATCTTTTTGAAAAGGAAAACACGGGCTAAGTGCCTAGTCCTCATGAAGGCTGGGTGAACCTTTCAGCAGAGCAGAGAAGGTGCTGTGAGATGTTGAGCACTGTGGCCCCGCCATTGATTGATTGACTATTAAATTGATATGTCGCCCATCTCCCCATCCAAAGTCAGTACATTGGCGAAGCTTTTAGTGCAGGGGTCTCCAATTTGGGCCCCTTTGAGACCTCTGGACCTCAACTCCCAGGATTCCCCAGGGCAGTTGGGCAGACCGGGGGGCTGCAGAGGGGCGGGTGGGTTGCCCTCCAGCCGCTAAATCCCACCTGCCCAATTTTTTCTTCCTGCCTGCAGCTGGCCAGCCATGGAGGGCGCCGGGGAAGCACTGAGCCCGCTCTGCCGGACATACATCTATGCCATCCACGGCTACTTCTGCGAGATCCTTTTTGTGGTCCTCATCCTGGACCAGGACTGGGTCTTCCAGGGGCCCCTCAGCGCCTGCTCCCTCCTGGTCTACGGCACCTGCGGGATGGCCATGGAGGGCATCTACCTGCAGCTGCGGGGGGACTGCTGCCTGCTGACCCGCTGTACCCTCTACACCGGCTGCATCTACCTCTGGCAGCTGGGCACCGGCTACCTGCTGCGCTGCCTTGGCGCCTGTCCCTGGGACCACAGCCACTTCCACTACAACTTCCTGGGGCTCATCGCCCTGGAGCATTGCTTGCTGTGGTTCGTGGGCGCCCTCCTGCTCGAGAGGCTGGTCATCGCCCCCACCCTGCGCCTCCGCCTGGGACCCCTCTGGAAACCCAAGCAGCGCCCGCTCCCCAAGTTCGAGCTGTCCCACGACTGACCGCGGCTGCACCGGGCAGAGAAGCCAGGGAGCGCCTGGCACTGCCCTTCCTTGTGTGCCGCCTGCTCCTGCCAGCCCCATGGAATGGGCCTCTTTCTCGGGCCGGATAAGGCCGCTGGACGCGTCTGCCGGGTTGGGCAGGGGCTGCTGCTGGACCTGGGGAGAGAGAGCCGAGTTCGAATCCTCCCAGAGCCAGGAAGCGGAGTCGGGGCTGGCTCTGACCTACCTCAACAGGTTGTTGTGGAGACTGGCTGGACGATGCCCTTGCAGCTCCCTGGAGAGAAGGCCGAGAGCTGACCGCCAATGGCTACGAATGGCGACTGTGGTTGGGGTCGGTTTGGTGACGCCCGGATTTGTTGTTTTTAAAAGAGCAACTATTTGGGTGGACGAACAGAGCTGGAGGGGTCCCTCGAGGTCCTCTAGTCCAACCCCCTGCTCCAACAGGAGAATAAAACGGAAGGAGAAAAACACGCGGGAATTCCGAATTAACCCCCCCCCCCGCCTCTCCTCTCCTCCCTCTTTCTCTGGCGGGAGGAAGAGCCCGAAGTGCCCCCAGCCTCTTTTCAGCCCCTCCGGGGCTCCCTGGGGGTCGGGCGGCTCAGAAACCCCCTGACTCAAGACTCCGAGGGCGCCGCTGGCTGGAGAGGCCCTGGGGGCCGCGGGGTCTCCGGAGCCTGGGCGGGGTCGGGTGGGGTCGCGTGGCGCAGGTGGGCAGATGCTCCCCGGCGGCGCTGAAATCTGAGCGGCTTGCGTTGGGGAAGCCAGGGGCGCCATCTAGTGCCGCAGCGCCGTCCCTGCAGCCTCTCTGCAGCGCCCCCTTTGGGCCTGACTGCTTTCCACGGAGGAGCGAAAGGGCTGCGGAGAGCCGGTCGCTGCCTTGGCCTTCCTCAACTTGACTTCAGGGGGAGAAGAGCAGGGGGGGAAATCCAGCGGGCTCTGACAGGTTCTGGAGAACCGGTAGCGGAAACTTTGAGCAGTTCGGAGAACCGGCAAATACCATCTCTGGCTGGCCCCAGGAGTGGGGTGGGAATGGGGATTTTGCAGTATCCTTCCCCTGCCACACCCACAAAGCCACGCCCACAGAACCGGTAGTAAAAAAATTAGGATTTCACCACCGGAGAAGAGGTTGCTTAAAAGTAGCGGGATTTTTTTCATACTGGGCTACATTAATAGCCAATTGCCTCCCACCGGCCAGTTCGCTCGCACAGAGTGGGCCTCCTCAGGGTGCCGTCGGCCAGACAGTGTCAGCTGGCGACCCCCAGGGGGAGAGCCGTCTCTGTGGCGGCACCTGCCCTCTGGAACGATTTGCCCCCAGAGATACGCACGATACCAGACCTCCGGACTTTTCGTCAGGCCCTGAAAACACATCTTTTCTACCTAGCCGGGCTGGCTTGATCCCATCCCTTCAATTTTAATTTGTAATTGGTTTTTAACCCGGGTTGTTTTAAATTGGATAGCCAAAATTATTTAATGTTTTTTAAATTGCTTTTAAATTTTATATGTTATATTTTACTATAGCCATTCACTGCCCTGAGTCCTGTTGGAGAAGGGCGGTATACAAATTAAATAAAAATAAAAGATAAAAATAAATTAAGAGGTGACTAACTCCCAGAATTCCACAGCCAGAATCCTGGAAGCTGAAGGCCAAATATCTTAAAGTTGTCCAGTTTGGTGAAACCCTGTTTCAGAGACTGGCATTTGCTGAGGCAGGAAACAGATGCGAATCCTGCCCTCAGGGGTACCATTGACCCAGGGGTGAAATGCTCCCGATTCGGACTGGATCACCCAATCCGGTAGCGATGGTGGCGGGTGGTTCGGAGAAGCGGTAGCAAACATCCCTGCCCCCCCCCATGCCCAGCTGAGCCGCGGGATCATCAGAGGCTTTTTTTAATTTTATTTTTAAAAGCATTTTTTCTACTATCTCTTCGGCTGAAAAAATGCTGTTAAAAGTAAAAAAAGAAAGCCTCTGATGATCCCGCAGCTCAGCTGGGATCATCAGAGGCTTTTAAAAGCATTTTAAAAAAGCATTAAAAGCATTTTTTCGGCCGAAGAGGTTGTAGAAAAAATGGTTATAAAAGTAAAAAAAAAAAGGCCACGCCCACCCAGTCACATTCCCCCCCCACCAAGCCACGCCCACAGAACCGGTAGTAACAGATTTTACATTTCACCCCTGCATTGACCCACCTGTGAGCCCCTTGCCGTAAAGCCAGCCACAAGCACCAAGGAGAATCGTTTGTGACTTGACTGCTGATGACATGGGGGGGGGGGGGGGGCGCTGCAAGTTCTGCCCACAAAAGCCTGGGGAGATTTGCCTTGTTCCAGCATGGGTTTTTTTCCCCATTTCCCCACTCTGGATCTCCTGTTGGCCTCCCTTCCTAGGATTACGCCAAGTCAATGCCATTGCAACTTCGGTGACTAAATGAATGGTTTTCAGTGGACTTCTACTTCTACCCAAACCCAGCCAGTTGCCATTTACTTACTAAGGGGGTGAGGGTGGGAGCCAGAGGTTGAGCCCTGGAGGGCCAGGCAGGCTGGCTTTGGCGCCAGGCGGGGGCAGCATCGATGCGCTGCGTGCAGGACGAGGGAGGGAGGGAGGGAGGCTGTGTCAGCCCCGGGCAGTCCTTTCCTTTCCTTTTCGGGGTTTTTTTTTCTCCTCCTCCCAGGTCAGAACAGTTTGTTCTGCTGTTGCTGGGCTCATCAGGAGCGTGTGTTGTGCGTGTGTTGTTGTGTGTGTGACGACGCGCTGTGACAATCTGCACCGGTTTCCACTGATCGTTGTCAGGGCTGGGAGGAAACCGAAAGCAAAGATCAGCCAAGCTAAATCGTTTGCAAAAACAACAAGCCCCGGTGGAAGGGCTGCCACAGGCAGGAGGGAGGGGGGGGGAACCGCAGGACCACAGGGCGGGGGAGGGAAATGGGGGGGCTTGTGGGGGGCAGCGCTGCACAGTCAACAGGAAGCTCTTCTTGACGCTTGTGAGTGTCACAAAAGAAAGAAAAGCCTAACTCCCAGGCGACGTTTCTCCTGTTTACGCGGCCGGAATGAGATGGGTTGGGAAGGGGACAAAACACAGGTGGTCCCCGATTTACAACCGTTCATTTAGTGACTGGGCAAAATTACAACAGCACTGAAAACGGGGACCGATGAACGTTTTTCACGCTTATGACCGTTGAAGCATCCCCGCGGTCACGAGATCAGAATTCAGACACTCCTATTTATGACGGTCAAAGTGTCCCGGGCGGGGACGAGGGATCCACTTTTGAGGACTTCTGACTAGCAAAGTCCATGGGGGAAGCCGGATTCACTTAATAACCGCGTGACTCACTTAATGAGGGCGGCAATTTGTTTAAGAAACCTGGCAAAAATTGTCATAAAATCAGGCCCGACCCATTTACCGTCTTGCTTAACTGTGGAAATTCTTGTCCCTGTTGCAAGTCAAGGATTACTTGTCTGCCACAGCCAGGGTTGTCTCCTCCCCCACCCCAGAAAGACCCACCCTGGTTTCTTGGGGGCCCATGGGAAGAGCTTTGCGACCCAGAGGTCACCCCATTGGCACCCCAAGTTAGGATGAAACATTCAGAAAATGTCTAGAATCTCAGTTGGCCAAATGTTCTGTTCTCTATTTTCTATTCTGTCTTATTCCATTCCATTCCATTTTTTCTCTTCTCTTCTCTTCTCTTCTCTTCTCTTCTCTTCTCTTCTCTTCTCTTCTCTTCTCTTCTCTTCTCTTCTCTTCTCTTTCTTCTTTCTACAGGTATTTCTATTTCTATTCCTATTTCTATTCTACTCTATTCTACTCCACTCTATTTTCTCTTCTCTATTATTTTCTCTCTTCTCTTCTACTCTATTCTAATTTTCCATCCATCCCATTCCTTTATCCTCTGCTGCAAATCCACCCCTTGATCTGAGAAGCAGAAATCTTGGTTTTCGCTGCACCATGAAAGCCGTCTCCACTCACCCTTCCCTTTCTGCCTCCCCCCCCCACTGCCCCAGCTTCCCTTAGCAGAAATCCAGCTGCAGGGACTCCCCGCCCCAACCCAAAAACAACAACAGTCCAGGAAACACCAGGCTAAATTTAACACATCCATTGCACAAAAGCTGAGGCCCGGGGAAGTTTTCGAGAAGGCCGACGGCAGAATTTCAAAGATTGCTCAAGGGGCCTTACCAAAATCGGAGCCCTCGCCCTCTTGCCGAAAATTCTGCCCGCTCAGGATGTTTTCTAAGGCCTACAAACCCCAAACCTCCCGCCCCCCCCCCCCCCCCCGGTGAAGGGTGGCAACGCCAGCAGCAGAGAGGGTGGGCTGCACCCCCCCCCCAAAGACCTCAACGGCCTTCAGCAAGTCAGGTCTAAGCCCAGCCTGGTTGGTTGGTTGGCTCTTCTTGTGGCTCGGGGGTGAGGTGGGGGGTGGGCTGGCCCTTCTTTAGGGTCCCAAGTATTGCTCAAAGCTAGAGAAGAGGAAGAGGGAGAAACTGAGGTGCGGAAGGATACGAAGAAAAAAGAAAGGGAAACAAAAACATATATAAAGACTGACTTCTAACCTTCTTCTCCTCCTCCTCCTCCTCCCCCTCCTTTTTCTCTTTCCTCCTCTTTCCTTCATTTTCCTCTTCCTCCCCCTCCTTTTCTCTTTTCCTTTTCTCTTTCCTTCTCCTCCCCCTCTTCCTCCCCCCTTTTTTCTCTTTCCTCTTCTCTTTCCTTTTTTTCCTCCCCTCCTCCTTTGTCTTTTCCTCTTTTCCTTCTTTCCTTTTTCCTCCTCCTTTCTATTTTTCCTCTTCTTCTTCCTCTCCTCCCCCTCCTCCTTTTTCTCTTTTCCTTTTCTTTCCTTCTCTTTCCTCCTCCTCCTCCTCCTCCTTTGCTTTTCCTCTTCTCTTTCCTCCTCCTCCTCCTCCTCCTCCTCCTCCTGGCAGCAACCTGCTCCTGCCCCCACCCCCCGAAGGCCAGTCTGCCAGGGTCCGGCTGGTGCCAAGCTGGATGCCAGTCCTGGGCTGCCTCTTGTCAAGCAGCAGCTGCATCAGCACTCCAGCTGTTTGCTTTGGAGAGCCCGGCTGCCCCCTCCTCCCCTTTCCTGACCCACTTTCTGCATTCCTCGAAGGGCCGGGAGGGAGGGAGCAGTGCTGACGCAGGACAGCCTTGGCCGGCTGGTCTCTCCCCCCCCGCGCCCCCCTGCTCCTGGGCCCATGGACAGCCGGCCTTGGCACACACAGCCTGCAAGCTGCTAATTCCTGTCCAGCCAGTGGGTCAGCCGGAAGGCCGGATGGCTTCAAGGATGGAATGTGGAGCCTCGGCTGGACCGGAAACGGAAGAGCCCTGGGGGGAGGATGGTCTTTGGGGGCCTCAGGCAGACCCCCA